TAGTCCCCTTTGGCCAGTGCCCTCTGGGATGACCGTCAGTGGGTGTGCAGGTGCAGACGTGCATGCCGCAGGCCCTGTGAATTGCTCCGTGCCTGCAGTTTGTCCCCCAGAGGTCCCTGAGGAACCTTGGCACCAGGGAAGAGGCCTGGGGAGCCTAATTAGATCGGGGCTGCTGCCTCTTGAATGCATGAGCGCCAGCTGGGCCAGGCTGGACTGTGAGAAGTCAGTCTTGAGTTTCCAGAGTGCCCCTTCTGCATGCCCTCGCCCTGGTGAACCCCGCCCTCCCGGCCAGGCCCAGCCTGAGTGGTTCCTGTTTCTGTACTGAGCTCTGCACTTCAGAACTGTGCACTGAATATAGCACTGCACCATACGGAGTGTGTGGCCTGGGGCCACACCGCCCACGGAGCCTCAGCGACCCTGCATCGTGTGAACAGCTGCCCTGGCCTAGCCTCAACTGGAGTCAGAGCAGGAAATCGTGGCACATGTGACCAGACCCGCTCATGGCTGCACTCATTAAACAGTAGCTGGTCAGGATCCCCTCTGAAAAGCAAACAAAATGAGTTTTTAGAAATTTGCAGTCTGTGTGTTTAGTACCCACACAAACAAGTAATCAGAACGTGCTGCATATGATTTTAGGAGGTTTCTGGAACCCTACAAATCCATCCATGGGACAAAACCTAGAGCAAGAATCTGAGTCAGCTCAGTGTAGTGGTGTACCTCTAACTCCAGGTACCCAGGAAGATGAGGTAGGAGGACTCTAAGTTCAGTGGATACAGCTTAGGGGTAGAGTGCTTCCCCAGAATACACGAGGCCTTGAACTCAATCCCTAGCACAGAATGAGAGACAGACAGACAGAGAGACAAACTAGGCCAATAAATCCTAATCACAGTGGCTTTCTCCACTGCCCACACACATACACACCATGCACACATAACAAGGTGGGGAGTGGCTGAGACTAGAGACCAATCCCATGTGCAGGGCTGGAGCACGGCTTGGTGTGAAGAACACAGAGCACCCAAGAGGAGCCATGTGAAGAAGCCAGTCCAGCTCCCAGAATGCAGAAAGCCCGAGGCTGTCAAACACAGAGATTGCTAGGCAGAGGCGTGTTGGTGATGTGAACCTGCCAGATGTATAAATAACTGTGCTGCGTCCTGGGCCAGTTCCTCTTCTCCCATCTGTGGAGAGGGCACCACTGACCTCAGCTTTCTGTTTTCCTACTTTTGCCTTTATTTCTTCATCCTCTACCATCCTTCATCCTGAGGATTTTGGGAGCTGCACTCGACATGGTGGTACACATTACACACCACACACAGGAGAGAGGAGGAGAGGCTTAGGGATGAGGAAATGGGCTTCATTATAAACACAAGGCAATGTGTGAGCTACACAGAGAATCAAGTCAACTGCTGCCCTCAGCATGGAGAAGCCCAGAGGGACACTGTGACCTCTTAGTACACTTGGGCAAGGGGCAGTGGTCATTGGGACTCTAACATGAAGGGACACACACACACACACACACACACACACACACAGAATAGGACCCTGAAGCCATTAGACTGTTCAGGAAAAACACCTTTATTACAAATTCACAAAGCTGGTGGAGAGAAGAATGTGACAGAGCCATCTATTTCATCATCACTGTTTCCAAAGCAAGTGTTCATGGGCAAAGTGTGGTTAAACAGTAGCAGTTCTTAGTGTCCTCAGCTGTGACCGGAACAAAGCACTATTAAAATGTGCCTGTCTCAGTTCACCACCATCCAGAGTTAAGCATCAGCTGCTTGCTAAGAGGGGTTAGGAAGCACTGGCCTATCTTCAGAGCACACGAACGCATTATGCTCGTCCAGAGGGTTTCCTGGGGCCTTGGTCTCCCTGGGTGACATTGCTACTTGAGGCACAACTTGGCACCACACACAGAAGGCGTAAGTGACCCTCTGGACATGGTGGTGGCTGTGTGTCACCCGTGGGAAATGTGACTGTCGCCCAGGTTCCTCTCCAGTGTGTCACTCTAGGAGATGATTTTTTTCCCTTTGACACAATTAACCTATGCTGAAGAACACTTAGTTGTTTAATGATCCTGTGCTTGGCTCTAGACCTCCTCAGTGACATTACCATGGCAACTAAGGAGTTCAAAATCTCCTTTTTCCTCAGACTCACAACAAGCACCCAAAAAGCCCTTTGCCAAAGACAGGGATTGTGCTGGAAACCGGAGCTGGACAGGATAAAGATTACCAAGTGGCTCTTAGTGAAACTTTATGGTAATTTGTAATCTTGATCGCTTTCCTTGACTTTGTACAAGACCAATAAAGAAGTGTGAGCCACTCTGACAACCTTCAAACTGCCTCCAGAAATATTTACGATATATATCCTGACCTGTATGAGAAGGGGACACAGCTCACTAGGCATCAAGATACACACACACATTTGTGCTACGTCAAGTTAGAATTGTGTCTCAGCTCACAAGAGAAAGAAGTCGCATCCACCTGAAGCACTGCGGGAACGGAAGTGTAGCTTTTCCTGGAACGTCGCTATTTCTATATTTGAGGATTTCAGTATTTCCATAAATGCACATGAACATCTTATTAATTATACCACGCCTCTTTTCTTCACAAAACACAAAACAGAATCACTTAATAAATATCCAGCATAAATTTATGGCTGGCATTGTGTACTGCTTTGCAATAGGGCAGCTTTCTGACAGAAACAATTTCATTTAAAGGACAAATGATGGTTGTGATCATGCCAATTATTTGAGCTATTTATTTATTTATTTATTTATTTATTGTTGGTACCTAGAACTGAACTCAGGACCTGGCGCTTGACAGGCAGGCACTTGTGCCACTGAGATATACCCCCTGCCTCTTGTGCGAATTACTTTAAAAATATTTGAAATAGAAAGGGTGGAGGGAGGAGGGCTGCTGAGTTGGAGAGGAGAGGGCTGGCCAAGATCAGCGCTCTCCAGCAGGGGGCGGCTCCCTAAGAATGACTTGAGTTTGCTACCCCAGTTTCTCTGTGGAAAATAGGGCTGTTTCCCAGGAGACTGGTGGTTCCTGCTGCCTCACACACGCCCTGGGGATTTCGAGTCCCCTGCTTGGGAACTCCAGGACCAAGTGATACCCAGGTTCTTACTGTTCTAGTAATTTCTGGTTTGTTTGACCTTTCTAGGCAAACAGAGTTAATACAGATGAATTAACAGACTAAATTTTCTACCCCTTCACCACAATGCAGAACTGAAGATGCACAGGAGGAAGAAAAATACTATCCAGGCTTCACCCAGCTCCCCCAAATGTCAGTACCTTTTATAACTGGGCTATGTTTTCAAAACTAGAAAACAGACGTCAGTTCGACCAACGCTGTTAATGAGTCTTTAACAGTTTTGCGCAGTTTTCTCCTCCTGTCCCCCCCCACACCCATCTGCTTTCCTCCAGCTGGCTTCTTCTGTGTAGTGCTAGGAAATCCCATCACAAGCACTGTGTGAACCCAAACAGGAGCTGGCCAGAACCATTCCATCACTGCTGTAACCCCGGTCCTGATCCCCACCCATTTTGGGGCAGGGTCTCCTAGATAGCCCAAGATGGTCTTGGACTTGTGATCTTCCTGCTTCAGCCTCCAGGATGCTGGGGTCTAAATGCCATCACAGCTGACTGCTGCCCCCATCTTTAATTCCTGCTGCCTATGCATCTCTGCTCTGCGGCTGCTGTCATCTCGGGGTTATATCATGCAGCCACACAGGATGTCACCTTTCTGGTTTGTTTTTCCTCAGCATGCTACTCTTGAAGCTGATACTGGTGACGTTTTTTTTCCGTTTCTGGCTAGGTAGTGTTCCATGTGTACACGTGCTAGCCATCCACTGAACCAGAGGGTGTTCATGGACCTTGGCTGTTACAAATGGACAGTGTGACCTATGGTCACAGGTTGTGACTGGTCCGGTCATTTTTAAGGACCTTTTTAGTGACTCCAGTCCCTTTGCATTTCAACGTGCAGCTCAGATGCTGGATTTCACCTCCTTCACTCACAGATGAGCAAGCACCTTGCACCTCAGCCTCCTTAGCCTCACTGGCTATGCACAGGCAGCTGGCCACCGTTAAGCCAGGCAGCACTGCTGCTCATACACAGGGACTCGCTTAGTCCCTAGGTACTGGAGGGGGGAGAAGTCTCAAGTCCGAGCTGCTCTGAGGAAGAAGCCAGGGACTAGGCCTGACAGTCTCTTCAAATACACAAAATGCTGAGCTCTTCCAGCAAACCAACAGTGTTTATTCATGTAGCCAGCAGGAGTCTCTGCTCCCAGAAATTAGAAAGCCAATAGCCAGGTTTTCTCCATGGAGATTCTGCATCATGTGTGGACAGCGAAAGGCCCACAGAGCCACCACTAACTGTCCAAACCCATCATCTAACCACTTTCCCAGCTTTCACTGCACTTAAAAGCATCTCAGGCACTGACAGGCCTGAAGGCAGCTGTTACCTGGCTCCTTTGCTCTTAAATCTTCACCTCTATGCTGCCACCTGCTGGGGGTACAGCTCCATCATGAAACCTCCCAAGGCCCATTCCTACTTTACACAATGCAGGTTACAGACTCCGCTGCCCCTGACATCTTTAAGTACTTGAAAATTACAAGAACAATTTGAGGAAATTTCTTTTTGTCAGTCTCAGGAAGATGGATCTGAGAATATGCATACCGAGGATACCCAGGCTGAAGGATCCCTGCCCAATGTAACTGGAACTGCAGAAGTATCTGAGAGAGTGTTTTTAAAACAGTAGGGCCTGGGGATTTATCTCAGTGGACTAAGTGCCTACCTGTCCAGAGTGAGGTTGTTGAGTTCAACCCCTGGCACCTCTCAAAACCAACACACTGGAACACTATACGTTTACTCCAGATTGGTAAATTTCAAGTGGAATCTGAGGGTCCTCTTCAAGGGTTGCTAATCTTCATACTGAAATACCTGTTCTTCACATCTCCTCAATACAGTATCTGGTGATGGTGTGGAAGGAAATACAATGCAAAACATTTTTGGAATATGAAAATTTATTACTAATGTCTTCTCATTATCAAAATTTTATGATCTTGGTCTCTCCTTCTTGCCTTTGTAGAGAGCCAGAAGAGAGACATTGGCTACTTTAACAACCTTAAAGCGGACTCCAGGAATGTCACCAACGGCATGACCTTTTCGACCAAATCCAGCGACTAGAACTTCATCATTTTCCTGAAATAAAATATTAAGCTTATTTCTGGCATCAGTGGCAGTCACATACACACAAAAATCACTCAGCCATACAAGGAAGTGCCCATTTATCAGAAAACAAAGTAACAAGGTAAGGAGACCCCAGGACAAAGCACATGAAGTCTGATTTCCTGGAAACGCTTACCTCGATGAAGTTCAAGCAACCATCATTGGGGACGAAGGCTGTGATCTTCTTCCCGTTCTTGATCAGCTGGACCCTGACGCACTTCCTGATGGCGGAATTAGGCTGCTTGGCCTCAACACCCCTGAAACATGGGCAACAGAGAGGTGAGCAGGCCTCCTGAAAAGGTGTGAGACAGCATGCAAAGAACTGGAAGCCCTTTCCACCTGATCAAACCTTCCGAGTCTCGAGGTTTCCATCAACTTTTCCCTTCCTCTGAGATCCATTATCAAAATGGTGGGGGATTTTAGCTACTTCACAATTTCAACCACAGCTAGAATGTACACATTTGATGACAACCATGCCATAAGCCGTCACAGAACCATATAATATCACCATTTTGAAAATAAAAAATCAAATAGGGCTGGAGCTACAGCTCAGTGGCCTGAGTGCCTGGCCAGCAGGTGCACGTCCTGAGTTTGATTCCCAGTACCCACCCACAATCTATCAAATACTGGCATATTCAAATTCAAATAAAAGAACCACTTGGCCACAGAAAACAGTGGACAACGATGTACTTATAAACAGTTCTTACACAACAAACGCTCATTTATGCACCTCACTGCCCCACTGTTACCATCTTTGCCCATTCCTGTAAGGTCAATGCTGAACTCTAAAATCTTGGTTATCTAACTTACTAATTCTGTCATCTTTTACATGCAAATGTCACTCTACAATCTTGGCTCACAAATGCCCACATGAACAACCACCTCCCTCCTTTCAAAGAATAAGTTTAAATCAGACATAGTGGTGCAAGTCTGAATTCCCTGCGCTCTATAGGCTGAGGCAGGAGGATATTAAGTTTAAACCCAAGTTGGGCAACTTAGTGAGACCGCCTCAAAATGTAAAAAGGTAACATTTTAAAAAGGGGGGCTAGGACACTGGTCAGTGTGAAAGCCTTGGCCAGATCCCCAGCGTGGCAACAACCTAACCAAACCACCACCCAGAAATTCAGCAAGTGCACTTGCTTCGAGTGCCCCAAGGGAACACCCCTCGCAGGCAGCCGGGCCTTTCACTTACACTTTTTCCAGCACGATTCCCTTGGCGTGGGAGGCCCCTCCGAAAGGGTTAGCTTTCAGGGCTGTGCCCAGGTGGGCCTTCTTGTACTGCTTATCGTGCCACTTCTGGTCCCGCCGGTGACTGCGGAGCTTCCGGGCAGTACGCAGCCCGCGGCACTTGCCTAAGGAAACAAAGCCACTGCAGCTGCTTCGCCCGGCCACACCAGCCTCCCCCGGACGAATGTCTCAATTCACGGCCTCGCTGGGTGGGCAGCTCAAGACTGGCGGGCACTAGCGTCGGAGGCCCGCACGGCCTGCGCGGGTGCTGGAGACCGGACCCCGCCGCCACGCTAGAGCCTCGCCGTCCGCGTGCGTCCTCCGCGCCGGGCTGCGCGGCCGCGGTCTTGCCTGGAAGTCCCCGCTCGTAGGTCTCCTCGTGGAGCCCGCCCCCCGCCCCATTCCCAGGTGCCTGCCCACTCCCGGGACCCCAAGGGGCCGCTTCCGCCCCTCAGCGCAGCCCCGCATAGCTTACCCATCCTGCCGGTGCGAGAGTCGGAGCAAAAGAACGACAGGGCCCGGGAAGGACCCACAAGCCACCGCGACAAGCCCCGCCCCGCCCGAAGGTCCCCCACAGGGCTGTCTTGTAGCGCCTGTCCCGAGGGTAGTGCCTCGTTCGAAAACAACACTCTTGAGCACCATTTTCCTGTGCTAAAACTCTGAGTCTCATTTCACTAGTATAAGAGTCAGAAATGTCTTGATTGTATCTCTTTTTCTTTTTCAGGTGAATGCCGGGGACAGGATATATATGAACTACTAGTCCCAGAAGTCTTTGCGCCACACGCTAAGTACGCAGGCGCTATGAGGAAGCCCGGGCCTCAGAGCCTGGTGAGGGCAAGGAGGTGGGGACTTGTAGGGAACTGTGGCAGAACTGATTCCGCGTCCCTTGATCTGAATAGAACGTGGGATATTGGGCTTCTGAGCTTAAAGTTAGCGCGCGGGCATTGCAGCGCCATAAAGTGTAAAGTGTAGTGAGGCAGCGTAGTGTAGAAATTATAGACCCAGACTTTGGGGTCGGACTGGGCTTTTAAGCTCGGAAGCTGCTCTTTCCAGGTTGTGCGCCCTTGGATGACTCCTTTAATCAGCTCTTAAGTCCCGCCTCTCCTGAACGGGGGAGTAGAGTTTTCTGGGTGGTACTTTTTAAAGTGACTTCGCTGTGCACTGGAGAGATCGGAGTTTGTGTTTCTACCAGGTTTATCCATATGTATATTTCAGGGTAGTCGGGAGGATCATTTTGCACCATAGCAGTTGCGGTGAAGAAAGCAGAGTAGGTGCTCGTAACTGAGCTACAGGATGTGAGGAATTAAGAAGAGAGCTCCATGGGAAGAGGAAATAACCATGCGTACTCGTATCAATTCCCAGGATGAATGCAAATATGCGCCGGAAACATGTATAATAAAAGCTAAAAGAATAGGTCTGTGAGAATCACATTACAGATGAGTGTCTAGACAAGCCAGTCAAATGGATTACAGGACACAGAGCATGGAAGCTCAGTGAGGAGCAGTGGGGTGTTGTTGGAGGCTGAGAGTCGCACAGAGAATATGGGGCGTCCTGTGGGCCATGGCAAAGGCCCTCTGCCGGTTCCGTCGTGAACTGGTGGCCTCTGGTGACCAACCGAGTGCCATCCTAAGTGAGCATAGGAGTGAACAAAATAGGATTGATGTTTCTGTGGCATTACTTTGGCTCTCGTGAGGAGAAAAGCGTGAATCCTGAGGCCTTTCAGGACGGTATTATATTTGCAAAGCGGAGATAATGACTCAGACCCTCACAGGAGGTGGGAAAAAAATGACGAATTAGTTAATACTGTTTTGTGGTGGAGCCACCAGGCGTTTCTAAAGTTAGTTTTCACCCCCTAACCTGAGCACTTGGTGACTTGTGTTACCAGCCGAGTGGGAAGTACTGGAAGGGAAAGAGGAATTCTGCTTTGAGATGCTTTTTAGACATCCCTGCATATACAGTGGGTCGCTGGCCATGGGGCCAGAGGTTCAGCAAAGTCATCACTGGATAGTCCTGTTGGAAACCAAGGCTCGGAGTGAGATCCTCCAGAGAAATGCTGCGTGATCCCACTTAGGTGTGGAATCAAAAAAATTGGTATTCCCAGAAGCAGAGCATCTGTGGGGGTCTTCAGGAGTTGAGGGAATTCAAGATTTGTTGGCTAAACGATACAAAATTTTAGTTAGAAGGGATAAATTCGAGTGTTCTGTATAACATGGAGAGTATACTTAATAGTCTTATACATGAAAATCATAGAGTGGATTTCAAATGTTCCTACCACAAGAAAGTATATTAATTAGCTTCATTTAGCCATACTGTACTGTATATATTTGAAAACATCTTGTACACTAAATACAGAGTTATAATTGAGCATTTTAAAAGTTTTTTTAAAGAGGAAGCTGCATAAAAACATTTTCTCAAATTAAATTGGATTACTGTCTTCCCTTAAAAACAGCTCCTGATGGATTAAGGGCTGAGATATCCAGCGCAGAACCAGGTTTCAAGCTGTGCTGGACTGGGCAGATGGATACCTCACCTCCACTGTGGCACTGTGGCAGTGATAGCAGCAGTGCCTGCTCCTCCGGCCCCTGGTGAGGAGGAGGTGAGAGCCCCAGCCAGATTGCACTGTGGGGTGGCCCCTAACACGGAGAAGCTGGACTGCTAGTCCCTGAGTAGTTATGTAGGAATCTCTTGTAGAAATATGCTTGGGTTACATTTTTAAACACATACACACTAAAAATCGGTTGGTTGTTTTTTTGGGTACTGCAGTTGAACCCAGGGTCCTTACTGTTATATCCCCAGGCATATTTTTGTTTTCATTTCTTGAGACAGGGTCTGGCTCAGTTCCTAAATTGTCCAGGCTGGAATCAAACATCCAAATCTGTTTCAGCCTGCCAGAAGGCAGCGATTAGAGGTACACACCATAAAATTTTAAATTTTAAATCAAGTATCATATTTTATGTCTTGATGATCCTGAACTTTCAGTATAGCATTCTTTCTGTTAGTATATTCTCCCACCTGGGTAAGAATATTCAAGGCAGACTAATTAATACCTTGTAAGTTTCACACATGGATTTGAGAATAGGAATCTCACAGTGTAACTGAGAATAGCTCATCTTGTGACTGGAGGATAAGGCAGTGACAAAAATGCAAAGTGAATATCTTGCCACTGAAGAGGTAAATTGTCGCTGGCCTGACACAGCAGCTGCCTGCTCAGATTACCGAGGAGTCTCTATTAAGAATGGTGAAGAATGTAAAGTTTTACCCACTTGTAAACTAACGAATTAGCCTGCCACTTTGTTTTTTCCAGGACTAGGAATTGAACTCAGGGCCTTCACACTGAGCTATATCTCCTGCTCTTTGTTGTTGTTCTTGTTGTTTTTGAGGCAGAGTCTCCCCCCCAGACTAAATTGCCCAGCTTAGGCCTCAACTTGATGATCCTCTTGCCTCAGCCTCCCAGAAGTTCTGCCAATTTTACAATCCAGGCCAAAGACATGAGACTTCTGGATCAGAGACAGGACTTTATTGCTTACCATGTAGGGAGCTGCATGACCATGGACCCACCTGTGTCCGTCCTACTGCCCAGCAAGCGGTGCAGGAGGGTACTAATGGGTGCTGTGTACACAAGGGGTTTATGCCAGGAGAAAAGCTCTGTGCTTGAAAAACCCTGGTCTCCCACTCTGGAGGGAAACACTTTATTTTCCAGGATGATGAATAGAGCTTTCATTTCCACAGAAGATACTATTTGTACCGGCAGGGCTTTGGGATGTATAGGCAGAAAGTGTATTCATTCTGAAGCAAAGGACAGAATTGATTTAGCTTTACAATCGAACATTTTCTTCGAGACTGGTCTAACCAGAGTGTGGTTTCTGTCCATGGCTCTCAGAGCATAGAAGGGAGAGAAACCCTCCAGGCCATGCATGCAGTGATCCACCTCCTCCATCCTTTCCCTACCTCCTAATCACCTTCCAAAAGCCCTGCCTTTGAGCACATGAGGCTTGGGGGGACATCCAGATATAAAGCATAACACTTTGATACAGGTTTTTGCTACTGGTAGTGTAAGAGAGCCTTTACTAGCAGGCTTTGCTCAAAGATACATTTAGTGTGGCCAGAGGGCCATGAAGTAGGAAGAGAAAGTTGAGGGCCAGAGGCAGCCTTGGGGGACTGTGTCCATCACAGAGAAAAGCAGAGTGCCACTACATTCCAGAAATGCCCCCCCCAACAGTTGTAGGATCTCCTCCCCTACAGAGGCAGAAATCGGAGTTTCAATTCAGTGAAATAAAACTCACTCTGACAACATATGTTGCATAATGCTGCCAGCTACTTGAGGCTGAAATTCACCAGGACATTTACCTTCAAAGGCAGCACCATATATAACTACGTGGTGGCAAATCGAAAATACACTTTTCTAAATATAAATTTGGAAACTTTAACTTAAAAACCATTGAAGTAAATTTTAAAACTCACACACATGTGAGCACATTATTCCAGCATCTACTAAAGGACCACATGTAGGAACTGATTACAGACACAGGTGTGTGGTTGTCCTTAAAATCAGTAATAAGTGCTAGAAAAACAAAAGAAGTGATTTTTTTACTATTGTGATTTTGATAATTGAATAAGCCCAGAACCCCTTCATTTCTTATTTTATTTTTTTTCTTTTCTCCAATAATCTTTTTTCTTTCAAGAGAAAAATTTCTTACTTACATAAAGTCTTTTCAGTAGTAGTCTATTAAGACTATTTAATATTTACTTTGATGGTTTCTACATTTATATTTTTCACAATTTACATATTTAAAAGAATAATCTAGAAATAATCCAAATGAGTCATTTTGCTGTGGAATGTGAGAGTCAGAAGAGTCACCCTCGGCTGCCCTGTAGCCACAAGAGCTGCTGGTCCTAACTGAACTCTTGGGTACTATACAGCCGGTCCATCCACCCCATTCTTAAATCTCTCCAGGGGAGGAGACACTAAAGCTTAATACTCCATTGCAGTAAGGAAATTGTCTTTCTTTTCTTATAGCTCAAAGGTCCCTGCCATCAAAGAATCTTATTTTCCTTTGGTTTTCAGCCACGGCAGAGAACACCTGGAGAATAATTGTTAATATGGGTATTAAAATTATAGTTCCCCTGCAGGGATTTTACAAAGAGCATCAAAGAACAGTTTTGTCAATTCCCCCTGGATCCTATGCAGAGGTTTAATCATAATAACAGGATTTTTGAAGGTCAGGCCTGTCTATTACTAAGATTATATAGCAAGGCATTGATTTCTTCTGTTCCACCTTGGAATAGATTCGAAAAGAAATAATCATTGCACTGACCAGGAGCTCATATGAAAAGCTAAGAAATCCTGTTCCTTCTGGATAAAGGAAAAATTGTGTTTAATAATTTAATCGGGTAAAATGAAGCACTCAGCATCCATCACCAGTAGTTATGCAGGGCAAATAATCATAAGTCTGACTCTCCTGCTTCTTTATGCTACTTAAAGCTGTTATTTTAACTCATCACATTTCCATAGCAACTGATGCCTCCGTTTTTATAGCTAAAGCACCAGAGGCCACTTCTAACTCTACTAAATGCTCTACTAGTAATTGTCAGCATTTTTAAGACCTTTGGCCGTTCTTCCTCAAAAGCTAACTTCTGCCCAGTTGGTATAAAGAATTGACCTTGCCCTTGACCTAAACCTCACCGGTGCATCCAACTTCATCAGTCTTTTCTCTTCGATGTGGAAAGGGGGCAGTTCCGAGAGCAGTCATACAAAACTTGGCCTTCATTGGCCTGTGTGGGAAAGTAATTGAGAAGAGGAAAACAAGCAGAAGCCCAGATATTCATTCCCTACCTACCCAGACTAGTCAGGATGGAGGAAAAGCTTAGCGTAGGCGCAAACTGGATTCTGAGTGGCAGAAGATTCCATGAAGCCAGGATTGCCAGATTTAGCTAATGAAAATATAGGGCCTTCAGTTAAACTTAGCTTTCAGAAAAGCAATGAATGGTTAAAAAAATAGAATGTGTCAAATTTTGCACAAGACACTTCTGTTAAAATTGTTTGTTGTGTGTCTGAAATTCAGATTTAACTGAGTCTCTTAGAATTTAATCTGCCAATCCTTCCAAAGACTAATGTTCTTTTGGCCAAACCAGTCTTGTTACTCAAAATTCCAGATAATCTGGAAAACCTCTGGCTGATAAGAAGGGAGATGGAGAGTGGAGGTGAGGGGAAATGAAAGAGCAGAGGGCAGAGAAGGAAGGATGGAAGTCAGGGCGTGGAAGGGCTACTAGAAAGCCTGTGACCTTACAAAAAGTTTTTGTTTTTATATGATACATACAATATAAAAGCAGTACCTACTAGTGAGTTACCACATAATGGTTTGGTACATGTATGCATTGTGGAATTTTAAGTCTGGCTGATTTTGGTGATTTTATAACTGTAAGTTTCCTCCTCATGTCTCTGCACCCCCCAGAACTGCTCTGTTCTCTTCTCCTGATTTCCTGCAGGGGTTCCTCCAGTTACAGGAGGAGGAGACAGTGTGGGGACAGGGACGTTTCCTCAGAACGAGTGCCAGCCTCTCTAGAGTCCACACCTCTGAATGATCACTTCCAAAGAGCACTTTTCGAACCCCAGAACTTTATCATTATAGGGATCAAGGTTTCTAAGGGCTGAAACATGCTGGCACTTCCTTTGGGGAGATTTTTTCTTCAGCATTTTTACTTTTAAAAATATATATAAACATACTGATTTCCATAGTTGACTAGTTTCCATTTCTATTATAGGCAACTAAGTTAAATAAAAATATTACAGCCAGTCAGACAGGACTAGATCCTCCAGGGAGCCAATGAAATAGACAAGATGCCTTGCTACTGTGGGGGAGACAGGCTCCGCTGCTATGGGCCAGACCTTAAATCAAAAGGACCCACATACTTCCTAAGGATAAGCATCAGGGACTGATACTCTACATAGGAATGGATCGCCTTGAAGAAGCCAGGAAGTGCCACTCACCCAATCCCCTACAGGAAAATCCTCGATTCTACATTCATGACCGCTTGCTGCTGTACTCGCTGCTCCACTTGATCCTGATTTAATCAATTTTACCTGAGCAGTTACACTCCTAATCTTATTGGTTGGCGTTGCTCTGTCCCACCTCATGCCCTTCTTGTGATTTATCATTTTTCCCCACCTTGGGCCGGTTCACCTTGTGGTTTTGCTTTGTAAAACCACAAAGGCCCTAGAAAAGACAGAGTCCTTGACACTCACTTAGGATCCCTTTTGTCTCTCTCAAACAGAAGCTTTCTTTCCCCAATAAATTCTGCTTAGGTTAAAAGCAGTTCCTAAAATTCATTCTTTAATTTTTGAGAACACAAACTCGTACCTACTGCAGGTTGGGAGTTTTTTTCCCCTGTATCATTCCCACCAAAATTAAGAAAAGTTCTTTTTCTCCCAATAATGTTGTCAGCATTTGTTATATGATTTCTTGATGATAGCCATTCTATCTGGAAGAAGATGGAATCTCACTGTGGTTTTAAAACTAAAAATAGAGATTCCATTTGACCCATTTACTCCCTTTCTAGGTATCTTCCCAAAACAGTTAAAGATGTCATATGATAGTGACCTACGCATGCTCACGTTTATAGCAGCACAGCTCATGATAGCTAAACCCCAGAAGTGGCCCATATAGCTACCGGATGAGTGAATAAATAAAATGTGATATTTACACATACTGGAATACTACTCTGGAATAAAGATACATTTGTTTCATTTGTAGGGAAAAGGATGCACTTTGCAGATCATAATGTTAAATGAAATCAGACACATAAGCTAAATTATCATATGGCTTCTCTTATATAAGAAACCCAAAGTGTAAATAAAGAGCAAAATAAAAGATAAGACACTAGGAAACAAGGCGATTGATCTTTTTGCAAGAGGAAGGGACCGAGAGGGGGAAGCAGGAGCTGGGAGAGGAGGGAGAAAGGCTGAAGATGGGTCTGCCGTGGCCAGCTCCGCACAGCGAGTGTGGTCCTGCACTGCAAACAGCTACCAATGAAAATGAAAAATTTTCAGTGTTTAAAACAACTCACGTTTTTGTCGTGTTCTGGTTTTGTTGGATTTAGGGAGGGGGTGGTAGCAGAGGCAGTAGGCAAGGAGTGACATCAGTATTCTACATTTATCTAGACACTGACGTAAGGGGACTGCTGAGGCTTTTTATCGTGATCTCATTAAATGCTCACACCAGTTCTGTAAGTATCTCTTTTGTTCCCATTCTGCAGATAAGAAAAAATAACCTGCCGGGTATCGGACATATCCTAAGTCCTGTATCTGGACTTGCTCTCAGCCACACCTGACTCTGAACCCAGCCTCCTTCCCCTGGGGCTCTCTGTAGATGGAGAATCACAAACTAAACAGGAAAGGTGAACGAGGACATGCATGTCTACTTAGGTAAGTGCAAGATTTTTACTGACTTGTTCACCTGAAAGATGTGTGTGAAAAGATACACTTGATAGATTTAATAGCTTCCTGAAAAGCAGTGTTAAGAACCTTAAGAGTTACAGGGCAGTATCAAAACAATGCAGCTGGTCCCAAAAGTACCTACCTGGAAAATACATTTTCTCCAACAATCTACCCCTCAGTGCTCTTCCAATGAATTTAATAATTGAAAATTTAGGTATTGGCTTTGCTTCAAGTCTAAATTAAGCCTTATCAGGTTCCTCCCTATCTCTTCCCCCGCATTTATGTCCTGGGAAAGCTGAATTTTCATTGGTTGGACTTGCTGTCAGTCACATGGCATGAAAAGTCCTGCCTCTGCTGTTTGCATTTTGAGTCAACAGATGTGCTTGGTTGAAGAAACTGATTCATTTCTTGATGGGAAGAAAATTTTTCTTTATTTGTTCAGTTGTTTTTTTATGCATGGGGGTTTCAGTAACTTTGGAGCAGATATTTGCCAGGAAGCATGTAAGGTGAGTACTGTAATTTCGTATCTTTTAATATAACGCGTCAGTGAAGTTCAGTGGAAGTGTGAAATGTTTGCTCTGTAATTCCTTTATGTAGTTGGCCATCTACATTTGTTTATGGCTCAGAATAGAATAAGCAAGGGGAGGCTGTACCGTCAGCTACTGAAATGATTAAACTAGATTTTATCATGAAGAAATTAGAAGTAGAATTTTTAAGAAGCCAGGGTTATTTGTTCAAATACACAAGACACCCTATCTTATGTATCAAAGTGTATGTCTAGTAGTAAATGACTCTGAATCGTTCTTCAGGTTTCTTTTATTTCCAAGTAGGTGTCAGAGTCACCGCTTCTTCTGGCATTATTCTCTGGAATCTCAGAATTTCTATTACCTGCTCCTCCATGAAAAGGTGTTGCATCTCTCTAACGGGTAGCAGGTGTACTTGTGTAGGACACACAGTGTTTACAATTAACAACCAGCATTTCTATTTCTGCTGTCACTTTGGCTTCTTTCCCTGCCACAGAAGAGGGCACGTAGAGATGCCTCTATAAAAAGGAATACTCGCATCTGAATAGCAGTCACATTATGTCCCATCTCCCCGTCACTCACCCTGTGCCGTCTCTGCAGATGCGCCTGGGAGCTTGCTGGGAACCCGGAACACAACAGGACCATCTGGCTGTCCTCGTCTTAAAGAAGCCATAAAAAGCCAGCAGCTGATAAAAGCTAGAAGTAGACACCTTTAAAATTTTTTTCTCCCCTTGTTTCCAAATCAGTTGGTGCTTTTTTTCCTTTCGGTTGGCTTTTAAATAGTAAATGACCCAAATTCCTTAAAGTGGTGAAAGCTTAATAATATTTCCCAGCAGGTGTATATAGGAACAACTGATTTGGGTATTATACTGGCAAAAGGCTTACTAAGGACTCTAAAAACCTCAATTCTTTTTAAAGCAATGCTTAATAGGTTTAAATAATCTTAGATTAAAAAAAAGTAGATCTTGGAATTCATGCAGACAAATGAACATTCAAATCTAATCAGATGCTACATTAACCCACTAGGAGGGCAAAAACCATAGCTATCTTGTGAGTGTTTGTTCAAGATGTGGATCTGGAATTAAAAACATCTTTCGATGCCACACTGCTCTTCAAGATTCTTCAGCCTCCAAGAAGGCTGATTGCATTTGGAGCTTGACATGTTTCAAAAGCTTGGGCAGCTGGGCGGATCACTGTGCTCCCTCAAGATGGGTTCATTCTTGAACCTAAAGAAAATCCTTCCACCTCCCACTTGGGTTTGAGAGTTTGTTTATTAGTTTACTCCCCAATGTAGCATTTAAAAAGTGCTTTGTGTTTTTCAGTAAATATGGTAGGAATGATGCGACCAGGTGCTGGGTCAGTCTGCAGTGACAAGAAGAACAGGGGCGGCCCCTGCCCTCGCAGGGTGGTGTGGTGCTCACCAATCAAATGACAAATCCGTCACCAGTAAATATCGGAATGTGTTGGGAAAGGAAATCCTGGGTGGCAACGAACCCATGAGATGGGATGTGAACCTGGCTGGGAAGTCAGGGACCGTGTTCCAGAGGAAGTGCGGTCTGCACTGTGATCTAGACAGTGTGCAGAGAAAGTCTGGAGGACAGTAGAACATTCTGGAAGAAGACAGCATGAAGCATTCTGGAAGTGAAAAGTGCTATGTGGCTGGAGCAGAGAGGAGGGAAGAGTAGAGACCTGGCAAGGACCGTGGGCAACCCAGGGCTTGGGGGCTGTGTAGGCCCGGGGGAAGAGTGTGGGGTTTTCCTGAGCAGGGCCGTGAAGAAGCCACCTCATGGTCACATCTACCTTCCTTCATACAGGCCTGTGGCCCTGCTGCTCCAAGGCCAAGGCCCTTGGTACCTTTACAGGGATCGTGGAAATCATTTTCACTGGAAAAGTCTGAGTAGGTTGCGTATAAACTTAATTTTCCAAAGTCAGCATTTCTCAGTCTATCCGCAGAGAATATTTTTAACTGGAAAATGTTTATTTCTACTGTAGTTCAGAGGCTGTGCAGTGACAGGAAAAGTGACATGTATCTGTGTGGTCTGAGATTATTGTTTCCTGCAAAATCTCGTTAGTTCAGGTTGAGAGTGTGTGCAAAGCCTGGCTGAATTACAGCTTATTTAAAAAGGAAATGTGACAGCGTTATTTTATGTTCGGGCTGGAGACTCCCTGAAATGACAGTGAAACTGTGTGGTCCCCTACAAGCCTTTTGGTGAAAGCACATAACAGTTTTAATTAGTGGAGCAAAGCGTGCTATTCATGTTCATGCAACGTTTACTGTATTCCCCCACGAATTAGATATTTCCAACTGACCTGATCAACGTTACCTTATTTGGGTAAAATATATCTTACTATTTTCTTGGTTTTGTTCACTAAACAATTAAAAATTGAATATATAACTTGGAATCATGAAATATGAGTTGGAGGGAAGTTCAAGTTAAAAACTTTAAGGTATATATTTGTGTGACTATATCATTAGAAAGCTTGAAGCTCTTTGAGAAGTATTGTCTAAACTTTTATTTCTCTTCCATATATTTAGTGATGTTTTCACTTGCATTATAGAGTTTGAGGCTCAGGTTGGTAGAGATGTTTCAGCTGATAAGCTTATTTATTGTGATTTTATGAGTGCTTTCAGAAAATAAAGTTTCTTAGTATTCCTAGATGTGACTGGCCACAGAGGCCTGATTCATGCTAACAATGGACAAGAGACTTCCTATAAACAAGAACGTCTTCCACACAAACGTCTACACACAAAAATTCTTAAATCTTGATTTTTAGTAGTTCCAAACGGGAAATACCTTAAATGTCCATCAGTGTGTACATGGACAAATAAAATACAGTATATCTATACAATGAAATCTGATAGTAATAAAATGGAATGAACCAGTGGTACATACACAATATATATTAATTTCAAAGTGATTTCATTAAGACTGAATGTATGCACATTATATATTACACCAAACACACTAACGAATACATGTTATATAATTCTACTAATATGCAATTCTAGAGCGTGCAGACTACAGTAATCTAAAGTGACAGAAAACAAGCTACTACTTGCCTGGGGCTGAAAGTAGAGGGACCATCTGTCTGCTGCTGGAATGCTTGGAGAAACTTCTGTGGTTAAGATGAATATTCTGTATTTCTATTGTGGTAGTGGTGACCTGGGTTTGTGGCTGTGACCAAACTTACAGGTTTATATGCTTAGCATGGATGCAGTTTATTGTACATAAATTATACAGCAGTAAAATTGATAAAAATGGATAATTGCATTCATGCATGAATTTGCTAAGGGAAGTTTAATAAACATCAGTGTCTCAATTTGTCATCCTCATGAATATTCATTAGATAATAGACATCCTATTACAAAGAGGCTAGTGCATTTAACTTGCAGTTGATTCTATCAAATCAATTCTAAAGTCCTTTACTGTGACGTAGATTTAGTAATTCTTTAGCTGTAATTACGTTTTACATATATATCATGACATATAATACTATTTAATGTTAAAATATTTTATAGATGTGATGCTGTTACTTTTAAAAATTTTTATCTTTTAGAGAAATATATTGAAATGATATAATTTCTGATGTTTTCTTCAAAATAATATCACAGGATGGAAGTGGTAAGTGTTGAAACAAGATTAGTTAGGCTTGATAATTACCGAATGTAGATGTTGGGTATTAATACATGGAATTAAAAAAATTTTTATTTTTTTACCAGTACCAGGATCAAACTCATGATACATGGAATTTTAAAAGTATTTTTACTTATAATTTGTATTGATTTGTATGTTTTCTGATAAAACAGATACATATTTTTTAAACTTAATTTAACTTTAGGAAATCTATGCACTTCATAGAACGTGGAAAAAAATTTGAAGAAGAAATAATTTTAAAACATCAGCCTTGCTCCTCATTCACTGAGTATTATAGTCTAGTGTTCCAAGCCTTATGCTAGACACTAAGGCTTAACCAATAATAAATAACATGTAATAAAATATTTTACAGTGACATTTGATACTAAAGCATACTTTTTATACTACAACAAAAATAGCCAACTCTTATTATTAATAAAAAGGATGAATTAAATTGCTGAAAAGGTATTTCAGAAAATTATGAGAATAGAATCTCCTCCTGTCTCTTCACACACATAGACACACACATAGTACAGCACATGCATGTGTAACTTGCTTTTATAAAACTTAAAAACAGATTGTTAGGAACATAATGTTGTGAACTCTACAAACTTTTTACTTAAACTGTAGTTCACAGATATTTACCCGTGGTATTGTCTGTCTCTTGGATATAGTTTAGGATGCTGTGTGACGCTCATGATGCAAATGTACCACAGGTGTTTAACCGCATTGCCCTTCTTCAGTGTTATGCTGTGCTGTGGTCTGAGTGTCCTCGAAGGTGCATGGTGACTGGAGGCAAGGCACCCAGAGTGGCAGTTAGGAAACTTGTGGGGCCTTTCGGGGGCAGGACATTGTGAGAGGTCTTTAGGGCTTTGGGGTGAGCCGCACTCTGTGCAATGCCTTGGTGGGTCTTACGGGAAAGTAGTTACAAAAGGAGCAGGAAAGCTGGATGTAGGGGTACACACCTGTAGTTCTAGCACCTGGAAGGCTGTGGTAGAGGGATCAAAGATTCAAGCTCTGCCTGAGCAGCTTAGTAACTTAGGAAGACTGTCTCAAAACAAAGGAATTAGAAAGAGCCCTTGGTTCAATCTTAGTGACACACACAAAGACAGAGAGAGAGAGAGAGAGACAGAGAGACAAAGAGACAGAGAGAGGGAGACAGGGAGACAGGAAGACAGAGAGAGAACCAGGCCTCTCCTGCTCCTCTGCCTCTGGGCTTTGGGCTTCTTGCTATCATCTGCTCCACCATTACCACCCGCCCCTACCGTGCAGATCTCACCAGATCGGGGCGAATGCAGGTGCTAAGCGCTTGAATCTCCAAAACCGTGAGCCAACTAAAAAAGCCTCTGTCTGTGTTTTTTCATGAGTGGCGTACGTCAGGTGTTAGGCTATGGTAGCGAAAAGCTCACTCATACCAGCTCTTCCCAATGTGTGGTATTCTAACAATACTGCCTAGGATATTGTGGTGGGATACCACGTGGCCTCTACAGTTGTATCAGAACCACACACAACATGACTAAATACTAGGACATGTTTTTAAATAAAAAGCATGCAGGCTCCAGAATAGTATTTCCACAAACTGTGTCTCTAAGTTTTGTGAAAAGTACATTCTGTATGATGTGTTTATGTGTGCAGAGACTGGAGGAGAATATCATAATTTTTATTCTCATAATTTTCAAAAGTACCTTTTCAGGAATTGAATCTTTTTTATTAATTTTAAGGATTGGCTATTTTGAGTTTGATTTAAATAATACAATGTAGTATAAAATTTCTCTATAATATTTTATGTTTTATTGTTTTGTTGTTATTATTGCTTAAACCACAGACCCTGTACATGGCTTGGGATATGGGCTGTCTGTAATAGTCAGTGTTGTCAGTGTAATAATCAGTCAAAGTTGATTTCAAATTTTTTATTTTTGTTTTTTATATTTTTTAAAGAGCACATATTGCTTTTTAGATCAGAAATTTACCATTGAAAATGGGCAGTTTTGACAGGCTTAAGATTTTCCTGCTCTATACTGAGATGTAATAAGCTGAAATAAATTCTTAATGCTTTGTGTGAAGCCTGAGCTGTAAACATTTGCTCAGCATTTAAATTTCCTTTTTTGAATTTCAGTTCTAGAACGTCTGCAAATAAAGAAGCGGTTGTAAAGAGTGGTAAGACTTGTAACAATTTTACAGTACTTAGCATGTGGTCATCCAATTACATTAATAAGCCGGTGGCACTTAGCCTGGTACTCACACTGTTATTTACTTGACAGATCAGCAGGTTAATGGAGATGTGAAGCCAGTCCAGAACTTCAGCCCGGTACCGATCACACAGGTAGGAGTATTTCAGGGAATCAGATGGTAACCAATCTTTAAAAAGTGTAGCTGGGCGTGATGGTGCATGCCTGTAATCTAAGTACTGTGGAAGCTGAGGTGGGAGGACTGCTGTGAGTTTGAGGGCAGCCTTGGCTACGTACGCAAGTTCAAGGCCAGCCTGAACAGCATAGCAAGACCCCGTCTCAGAAAAAACAATGTAAATATTTTACAATTACATCAGAGCTACTGTGAACTAATAAATAATAATTCTATTAATAATTAACATAGTCTTACTTGAACTTTGGATGGGGAAATGTATCAACATAGTCTTATAGATAAGAAAAATCTAAAGTGCTTACTTTTACTGGGTCTTTATTATATTTTTGTTACAGTATTCAGTTTGACTTTTAAACAGTTACTACTGTTACTATAGTAACAGTTTATGTTTGATTACTAGTGAGCTTAGGTTGCTGCTGCTTCTTTTTAGAAATTGTGGAGTCTCACGTGACATATCCACACACGTGCAGGTATCACGCCTTGGTCACATCTTCCCTTTCTCCTCCCTTCTCTTCACTTCCTCTTAGCTAATTAACAAGTCTATGCACGGAGTAATTGGTTCCCACTTGATGCTGCACATGCTAGGGTTCTGATAAATGTACAGTGGCCTCTGCCCACAGCGCCAGGAAGTGAGTTGGCTCTTTACCTCTTGGAAGCCCTTTGTACCATGGAGATAAATTTGTCTCTTACGCTTTTTCTTTGGCGAATCAGGCTCCTCAGTACAACCAGAGCAGGGGAGGACATGGAGACCGAGAACATCGAAGTGTGTTCAGCCCTCAGAACCCCATTCGAGTCTCCCTCAATGGGATCCCCTGCATTCTCTTCTGGGCCAGAAGAATCACAGTCACGTTTGAGAACCAGACCTGGCTGGACCTCACCGAGGGGACATTTGGGCAGAAGGCAGCAGTGGACACACACAGCTCCAGCTGTGGTGAAGAGCGCGCCACGTGAGTCACCTCTGCTTGAGGCCGAGTCTGTTAGCTGTGAGGTCCACGTAGGGCTCGTGCAGTCTGTCAGTGTCTGACTTTCTGTTATTTCCAAAAAGGGAGCGGACCCCTTTCTGTATGACCCTGACATTCACCTTTGAGAAAGTGTATAATATTGAAATGAAAGGATGAATCAGGAATTCACTTTCAAATATTTTAATTTTTGTTTTCCAGAAAAAATTTAAACCACTTGGCTAATTATCATAACTTATGGGAAAAATGAATGTTATAAAAATTAGGACTTTCAAACTCATTTTTTTGAGCCATGAGGATTTATTTATCTATCTTTCTTTCCATCAGATTTTATTGATTCATTTTAGACATACGTAATGATCATGTTAACCATGGAGAATTCGTACCTATACACAACATAATTTGGTTCTTTTTTTCCATTCCTCTACTCTTCCTTCAGTCTCCCTTCCCCATTTATAAAAGCTTAGTCTCTATTTTTCCTTCTTTTCTCACTGTTTTTTTACTTTTCTTTTCTTTTCCCTCCCCCTCCCTTGTTCCCCTTCCCATTTGAACATTTTCTTCCTATTTCACAACCTCTGTTCTACATTTTGGTCACTACTTACACTTTTGGTTTCTCACCCCAGAGAAACAATGCAGTATTTACATTTGTGGCCAATTTATTTCACTTAAGAGTATGATCTCAAGGTGCATCCTTTGACCTAGAATGTCTCAAGCTTATCCTTCTTTATGGCAAAGTAGTACTCCATTGTATAAGAAAACCATCTTCTTTATCCAGTCTCCAGCTGATGGGCATGTGGGCTGTTTTCAAGATCTGGCTATTACAAACTGTGACAACATAAACATATATTGCTGTGATACGATGTTTTTAATCTTTTTAAAGATTAAAAGAAGAAGGGGAATAGCTGGGTCCAATGGACCCTCTAGTCCTAGATTTTTGAGGACTCTCCACACTGATTTCAACAGTGGTTATACCAGTCTACACTCCCACCAGCAGAGAAGCTTTCCTTTTCCCCACAACCCCTCTAGCATTTGTTGTTGGTGATTTCTCGATGATAGCCATTCTCTCTGGAGCAAGATGGGGTATCAGTGTTGTTTTAATTTACATTTCTTCAATGACCACAGATGTTGAATGTTTTTCCATATATTTATTTACCATTTTTATTTCTTCATCTGAGAAGTGTATTTATCTCAGATGTCATTTTTGGATGAGGTCTTTAAATTTGAGGGAGTCTGATTTTTTTTTGAATTCTTTATATTTTCTCAATAGTAATCCTTTGTCTGGTCAAACTCATTTTCTTAACTTCAAAAGTGTCACTCATATTTGAGATTTCATTGGTTGCATTGATCAGTACAGACATTCCACTTCATACACAATTCTTAACACGTGTCCCAAAAAATCTAAAAAGCAATGTATTGTTTCTTTTTCAGTTATTCCAGTGACTTTCTAGCTTCAAATTTGGAGGCAAAGCATGAGTATATTCAAATGCTGATAAAGTGTTAAGTTCCACCAATTCACAGTTTTGTATCTTATACACTATATAGTCAAATTTTTAATCTTTCACAGCACATTAACAGAATTAGGCAATCTGGATTACCACAACCAAAGATGTTACAAAGTACACAGAATCCTGACAGAGCAACCATCAAGAAGTAGTGTTCTTTAGGGAAACAATTCTACTAAAAACAGCATGGGAACTGAAGTCATTTGAAATATCCAAGGCATATGAAAAATGCATGACTGTTCCAAATTGCCCTTTGGTATGTTTTGTGTTGCAGGATGTAAAACTGACTCCATCTGTGGAATATTAAGCCGACATGCAAGACAGCCAAAGCATGCCATAACTCAATATCCCAAAATTTTCTGGTTGTACCAAAAAGAAAACAATCAGTGAATGATTTTGCCTCTAATAAAAATCATTTACACTTTAAAAAAATGCAATGAGATGGGATTCCCTCTTTTAAAAACTGTCTTTAGAGCCACTAAAAAGCTTGCATTTCCAACATAGTTGATAAAATAGTTCTCTGGGTTGTACAAGAAGGGAGCCAGGGACTGCGAAGACCTGGTGTGTGGTTACTTTCTCTTCTGCTTCATCAGAGGCCACACTCTTGTTTTTCTTTTTGAAAGGAAATCTTCCTTGATTGTTGGTCAGCCAGTTGGGCCTGTTTTCCCTCTGCTCCTCTTTTCCTCTCTGCTTGCACTTTTTGTCTGAAGCTTTAACTTTCCCGCTGCCTTTTCTGGCTTCCTTTCCACTTGTGCATGAACAGGTTTAGCTGGCAACCTCCCGGGTCTCCTCTTGGGCTCCTCTTTAGCCTGATCTTCCACAGAGCTGACCTTCCTCTGGGCATCTCAGCACACCCTCATTTTTAAAAGAGAGGGTAGAAAAGGATTTTAGGCTTCTTCTCCACTTGGAATGTCAGCTATCAAACTGATTTTGTCTCCCCCTGGGAGATGCTGCTGGGTCACATGTGCTCTGATGGGTGAAGACAGACCCCGTTAGGGAGGTGCGTTCCCCTTAGGGGAGCTTTCTGCACCCGTGGAACAGTGCCTCTGCAAACGTGCAGGGATGTCTTTGGCCAAATTTTAGAGAATTCTTTAGGACCTTTCAGTGTGATCCAAATGATCAGTTTTGGCTTGAGATCTAGGCAGACTGAACAGATACCATAAACAGTAAAATGTGTTTGCTATTACATAGAGCAAGGCAATCTGACATGTCCCCTTGTGTCCTACCAGTTTCTTTGTCAATATTTGCTGCTATAATGCAGGTTTATGAAAGGCTCTCTACATTTGTTCTGGCCGGGCTTAGATGGGTACAAAGCATTGTGTAATAACTTGTATGTGTGTGTGTGTGTGTGTGTGTGTGTGTGTGTACACGAGCATGTATATATTTGTGTTACACTTTCTGTACTTTGACTGGAAACACCTTTTTATTTCCTGAACTTATTCATCATTAAAATATTCTTGGCGATGGGTAAAACTGGATTATGTCCCTACTATGAGTTTTAGTGTCTCTTTAGAGTGATCATCTCTTAATAGGGATTTAGGGAATCCTGCCTAAACATCCAGAATCCTCCCATTTATCCTGTTACAGCACAACTATCAAAGACTATCAAACAGATACCAGCGCTACTGAGAGCTGGGGACCTTTCCTCAGAGTCTAATTAATTCCCTGCAGAGCTCTTTATCTGTGGCCAGGTGCAGGGAAAGAGGCTGAGTGCTGGGGAGAATCTTCCCTGACTGTGGCCAACTGGCTTGTCTTGAAGCCCTTATCCTGACCCTAGGGTATTGATAGGACAAATCAGGGCATGATGGCTGGGGACGGGGCTTTGGAGACCATCGTGATCACTGAGAACCTACAGAAGGGAAGAACAGAATCTTTGCTTCTATGCCTAGTGCTGCCAGTGACTTTGCTGACTGTGAGCAGGACCTGTAGGACTGCTGTCTGACTGATGGAGACAGTGAATCCTATCTTGGTTGCTTTCCTCAGTGCTGGGATGCAGTTCCTGATACCAGCAGTTTAAAGGAGGAGAGGGTTATTTTTGCTCATGCTCGGTTCATGGTTGGCTGGGTCCAAGGCAGAAGAGTATGGCAGAGGGCCTGAGCCTGCTCATGATGTGCTGGGCAGGAAGCGGAGAGTGAGAGAGAAGCCAGGGAGCCAGGGAGGCAGACAATCCCTTCCGGGTCACAGCCCCAGTGACCTGCCCCTTCCTCCCACACCCTGCCTCCTAACACAAATTTGGCTGTGGTGCCCCATAATCCAGTCACTGGCCCTAGGCCCCATCTCTGGATTCAACCATGGCAGCCTCTGTTCACCGCGGCCAGCAGGCCTTGCTGGTTTACTACCACAAGAGGTCTTCCCAGGGCCCATCTCTTATTCTTCACAGTCACTTGCAGTCACAGGCCATCATCTCTGTTCTAAGCAGAGAAATCAAGGCTCAGAGAAGTTAGGAAACTTGGGGCAGCCTCATGGTTTGTGCGTTAACAGAGCTGAGGTCTAAAGTCCTTCTCTCAGCTTTATGTCTTAGGGTTATGAAATCACAAGAGGACACTGTCTTAGGTCACTTTCTCCCCACTGGGAGACAGTATCCAACATCCACTACTGAAAGGGGAGAGGATTACTTTGGTTATGTTTTCAGTCCATGTTTGGCGGGCTCCAAGTCACAAGGCATGGTGGAAGGACCTGGCGGAGGAGAGCTGCTCGCACGATGGTGGGCAGGAAGCAGAGAGAGGAGGAAGAACTGCAGAAGGAGAGACAGCCTTTAGGGTCATCCCTGCAGTGACTCTGCTCTTCCGAGCAGGCTCTATCTCTAACATCATATTTAGTTATTTCTCCCTCAAGATCCAATCACCTACTAAAACCTCTCCCTTTGAGCATATGTCTCTCTTAGGATACACAAATACTTATTAATCACATCAGGTGTGTTTGCATAAATACTCTGAGACCTCACTGAGTGCCACTCGAATTAGCATGGCTCCTTCCTAATCACTGGTGATGCTACTGCTACTAGTGACCACAGCAGGGTGGGAGGGTCTGGGTTACCTGGTGGAGAGGCTTCACGAGCTTTGGTTTTTGTTGTCCATTGAGGAGCAGTTAGGCAGCAACTGATATTTTGTCTTCTGGTCACCGTCCTAGAATTCTGCTCAGGTGTGAGCCCTGACCCACCTCTTGGGGTCCTGCTCAGAACAGTGGGGGCCTCCAGGACACCAGTGTCCCTGGTGAGGTGATCGAGAGGCTCCCCAGGAAGTGAGGCCTTCGAGGCCCAGCTGCCGACTTCCTGTGCCAAGTGCCTTGAGTTGCGTGGATTAGTGAGATGTCTTTGCCCGCCTGGGAGGAAATCTTTACATGTGGAAGAACCAGTGTGGGAGAACTGGGAACTGGGGAGAACAGATTGGACGGAAGGCGTAAACCTGTGAGGCTAGGGGCAGGGTGAAAAGCCAGATGACCACATTTTAGCTCTTGGAAACAAGAGCAGGAGAGACAAACCTGGCC